TACCACCATGCCCGGCTAATTTTCTTTCATATTTTTAGAGACGAGGTTTCACTATGTTGGTCAGGCTGCTCTCGAACTCCTGACTTTGTGATCCACCTGCCTCAGCCTCCCAAAGTGCCCAGATTACAGGCGTGAGCCACCATGCCCGGCCCCAATCTGTCTTCTTTTTGCTTAGTGTAAAATGATACGAATACAACTTGAGGGTCTGTGAAGGCAAAAATTCAACCAGTAAGAGATACATCTGTATAATGGAACAGCAGACACTAAAAATAATGCATTCTACATACATCATGACAAGTAAAAATGAAAAAACAAAACTAACAGAATTTTTGTGTCCAACGAAAAACGTTACATATATTGTGGTGGTTTTTTTTGTTTTTTTTTTTTTGTTTTTTTTTTTTTTGGAGATGGAGTCTGGCTCTGTTGCCCAGGCTGGAATGCAGCAGCATGATCTCGGCTCACTGCAGCCTCTGCCACCCGAGTTTAAGTGATTCTCATGCCTCAGCCTCCCAAGTAGCTGGGATTACAGGCACGCACCACCATGCCTGGTTAATTTTTCTAATTTTAGTAAAGATGGGGTTTCATCATGTTGGCCAGGCTGGTCTCAAACTTCTGACCTCAGGTGATCCACCCACCTCGGCTTCACAAAGTGCTGGGATTACAGGCATGAGCCACCATGACCAGCCACACTGTACATCTATTGTATGCACAAGTTTCTAGACACGTACAAGAAACTTGAGTGGCATCTTTAAAAACAACAGTAGGATAGGAGACGGAATTCTCACCTTCTACCTTTCTGTAGGGATGAAAAATAAAATAAACATGTATTATGTTTGGCCAAACATTAAAGAAAAAAATCACAGATCAGTATTTTGGGAAGGTGGCTGGAGAAACCTCTAAAGCCACACCAATGCAAACACAATTGCATCAAAAATACTACAGTATGCTAAAAAATGTTAAATGAATGGTGAAAAAATTTTAAAGTACAATCACATACTCAAAAAAGAGCCACAAAACTTTACTTGGAAAATCATATCGAGTTCAGGAATATAAAAGTAGAAACGGTCTTGCAAAAGCTATAATTTGCATATGCTGGTTTGCTGGAGTCCTCCTGGAATGTGATCTGTTTAGAATCAACGTTTTAGAGCTGGAAGAGTATTTTAGAGCTTAGAAGAGTATTTAGAACAACTAACCAGGGCCGGGTGCAGTGGCTCACGCCTGTAATCCCAGCACTTTGGGAGGCCGAGGTGTGCGGATCAGGAGGTCAAAAGATTGAGACCATCCTGGCCATCATAGTGAAACCCCATCTCTACTAAAAATACAAAAATCAGCTGGGCATGGTAGCACGCGCCTGTAGTCCCAGCTACTCGGGAGGCTGAGGCAAGAGAATCGCTTGAACCCAGGAGCCTTCTTCCAGGAGGCGGAGGTTGCAGTGAGCTGAGAGTGTGCCACTGCACTCCAGCCTGGCAAACGAGACTCAGTCTCAAAAAAAAAAAAAAAAAAAGAACAAAAAACCTCACTTTATATTTACCTCTAGACTACATAATCCCCAGTAATAACACCCTAGTCCTATTTTCAGTAACAAAAGCTATTTGTAGAACAGACACGTGCTGGGTTGTTTTTTTTTTTCTTTTGAGATGGAGTCTTGCTCTGTCACCCAGGCTGGAGTACAGTGACACGATCTCAGCTCACTGCAACCTCCACCTCCTAGGCTCAAGTGATTCTCCTGTCTCAGTCTCCAGTAGCTGGGATTACAGGCACACGCCACCACACCCGGATAATTTTTATATTTTTAGTAGAGACGGGGTTTCACCATGTTGGCCTGGCTGGTCTGGAACTCCTGACCTCAGGTGATCCACCTGCTTCAGCCTCCAAAGTGCTTGGGATTACAGGCATGAGCCACTGCTCCCGGCCAGACTAATGCACTTTTAATATATGTCTCTGCTTTTAAAACTTTAGAGCAGGGTCCCAGACCATTCTGTTCTTGCTACATGCCCAGCACGTGGAACATAGTAAACAGAAGTGCTCAATACATATATATGTGTGTATACATAACTTTCTTTAGAAAAGGTAGGGAAGTGAGTTCTGTGCACAACTATGAGAAATCACAATGTATGACGTAAAAAAAAGCTGCAAGACTAAAATATGAAAATTAGTTCCCCTGAATTGGAAAAGGCAGCACCATAGGCACATGTGACCACATACCTACAATTTCATTTTTTGCTTCTACCAGTGGAATGGTCATAAGAATATTGAACTCTAAACCATGGTAGTAGGAAGGCTACTTAATGTCTACTTTGGAATTCATAGTAAAGCAGGACACAAGAGTTTAAGATGGTAAAAGAAGAACAGGACCAAAGTTTTTGACACCAAATAAATGTATGAAGATGAAAATTGTAGACCTAACAGACCTGGTTGTTTTAGGGAATGATGGGCAAATGAGCTGCCCTGGGCTAATGGGCAAAGCAACCTGAGAACAGAGTTTCTCACACCATATGTGAGGGACCAGCCTTAACCCCTAAATTGTACTCTGCCAGACATACTATATATACACATACACGTTTTGTTATATATATATATATAATGTATATATATATTACACACACACACATACTTAAATATTTTTTAATTTTTTTGTAATGATGGGGTGTCACTTTATTGCCCAGAGTGGTGTAGAACTCCTGGACTCATGCAATCCTGCCACCTTGGCATCCCAAAGTGCTGGGATTATAGGTATAAACCACTATGCCTGGCCTGTAAGATATTTTTTAAAACGTTACTAGAAAAGTGATCACATATTGTCACAGTAATATAAAATTACTATAGAAGTTTCCAGACACATACAATTTGACCTCGAGAGATATGCTGAAGTTTTGTTTATCAACGTCAATCTGGCCTAAACTCTTGAATTTGTGTAAAAAGGATCTGACATTGTTTTACTACTCGACAATAAAAACATTCTGTAAGAAACAATTAGAGATAAAAGGTGCATAGCCTTGTCATTAACTTTAAAATACAACACTGCTTTGTCACAACGCCTAAAATTATCCTTTTGAATGTAACTTTAGCATTTAAGAATCTCAATGCCTATTAGTTTGAACATTTTGCCTTATTTTCCCATTTATATTAGATTAGAATACAGAAGCTTAAAATGTATATGAAAACATGACCATGCATTGATTAATGATGGGAATAGGTTTTGAGAAATGGGTCATTAGGTGATACCGTTGTGTACATACACAAACCTGAATGGTATAACCTACCACAAATATAGGCTTCGTGGAACAGTCAAATATTGCTCCTAGGCTACAAACCTGTATAGCATGTTACCATACTGAATACTCCATAATGCTATTTGTGTATCTAAACATAACATAGAAAAGGTACAGTAAAAATAGTGTTACAATGTTACTGGCCCACAATCCTATATGTGGTCTGCTGCTGACCAAAACTTCCTTACATAGCATGTGACTGTATTTACTAACACTATCTACTGTAAACTCCTGTACCTTTGCCTCCAAACTTCCCCAACTGACTAACACAGTGAATCTAGGGAAAATTTCCATCTATTACTAGACTCATTACCAAAGGAAGTAAAATGGAGAAATGTTTGTCTGCCCGACCTATAACAAGCTGAGGTGATTTTACTATAGCCTGTTAAGCTGTACCCTATGGAGAAAATGTTATGTAATTATTGTCTCTGGAACCAAACTTCCAGAATTCAAATTCACCCTTTGCAATTTACAAGCAAAAGTTACTTAAATTCTCAGTAACAGCACCTACATCTCAAAAGATTATTCTGCAGGTTAATGTGCATGTAAAGTGACTAAACTACTGTCTGCACATAAATTATTACTATGTAAGTGTTATAATTATTTAATTGCATAGTATGTATTAAATCCTTCTGTAGAATTGGGATAATAAACATTAAATTCATTAAAGGAAACGTCACATTCCTACAATAAACTGCTATTTGCCCGTTAAAGCTTATTTCAATTCTCTATTATGAAAATACATCTATTTGGGCCGGGTGCGGTGGCTCACACCTGTAATCCCAGCACTTCGGGAGGCCAAAGCGGGCGAATCACCAGGTCAGGATATCAAGACCTGGCTAACACAGTGAAACCCTGTCTCTACTAAAAATACAAAAAAATTTGGCCAGGCGTGGTGCGGGCGCCTGTAGTCCCAGCTACTCGGGAGGCTGAGGCAGGAGAATGGTGTGAACCCAGGAGGAGATTGCAGTAAGCTGAGATTGCGCCACTGCACTCCTGCCTGGGCGAGAGAGCAGGACTCGGTCCAAAAAAAAAAGAAAAGAAAAGAAAAGAAAATTTATCTATTTAATCTATTTATAATATCCTGTTAAACAGAGAGAAAAGAGTAAGTTGGAAAATAACATATAGCCTAATTTTATATGTAGAGAAGGTGCTAATAAAGTTATAAAAGTTGCAAATCACTGTACTATTTAAGTGGCAACTGCCAAAAGTGATTCAGAGTAATTTATTATCCTTTCTTGTCCCTAGGAAAAAGGTTTAAAATCATGAATTCTAAAATGCTAATAACAATAATCAAACGCTACAAATCAGTTATTTCAAAAATTTAGAACTGTATACATTTAATGTGTTATTCCTCCTTTGCACCTAAAAGCTGATGTTTCTTAAAATTGGACTTCATTTTAGAATTAAGAAAATAGATCATTAACTTATAATAGATACACCACTTCGGTCCCACCCATTGCCAACATACCACTAACAGCATCACTTTTAAGCAAACTCTTGAAGTACTCAAAACTATACATATTAATGTAGACAGTAAGTCAGCTTAACCAATTCCCCAAGTTTAACTAGCAGATATTACATACAGTATGCTGAGATTATAATAATAATAAACACAGAAGATTCAGTATTTCTAGAATACTGAACAAGAGGTGTTTGTGGCATTGAGAGTACTGTGACAACCTGTGGTACCCTTTAAACTGCTTTAAAATTTTACAATGAAATCAGTGCTATTAATTTCATGTTTATTTCATACAGGGTTTTTGTCAAGTTTATCAGTTTTAAAATGATTAAAAGACAAAATTTTCCTCTCAAACTAATAATTTCCATTCTGCTACCTACAGTTTGGCTTATCCTTTGGTCTGATAGCCATACTTCATTTCACAGGACTATACAAGTATGTACTATGTACAAAACATTTTCAAGTTTGCTTTCAAATGATACCTACAAAGAGTAGATCAAGTTTTCAAGTTTACAGAATACCATACTACAACAATTTACCACTATAAATATGTCTTAATACCTGTTTATTCCATTCTATTTAGATTGCAATACTAACAAAATTCTTAATGCATTATGTTCCCACCACCTGTACTTTCCCTACACTATCATTTTGACACTTACATAAAAACAACTCAATTCAGCAACCAAGTTTTACAACCACTGTTGCTACCAATCAAATGGTGATGCATCAGATCCCAATTCTCATGAGTATTAACATATTAAGAGAGTACATTATTTACCTAAGACTGAAGGACTGTGCCTTACTTTATAAAAAACAAAGATAGCCACATCAATTTAATTCCATATATATACTACCTATTCAATTTATTAAAAATTGTAATAAACATAATAATCAAACTAGTGCTCCAAACTTATTCTGTTCACATGGAAGACACCACAAAAGAAGACATAATATAGAGACTGCCTTGCAATAAGAAGTACAAATTCCTTCTATAAAGATGGAGAAATAAAAGGACAAATCTAGTTGTCTAAAAGACAATTCACTGTACACATTTTATTTACAGTTTTGTACACTGTCTTAATATGAATGGGACTGCTTTTCTACTTGAGCCATTTTCAACCAAAGCAAAATAACCTAAGTAATACAAAGTGTTAAAATACAGCATAAAGATACAAAAACAGACATACTAATTCTAGTTAGGAATGTAATTATGATGTTACATTTTTTATAATCCACAATTATGTTTAGGAAATCACACAAACATAGATCACTGATTTGAATGAAATGCATAAATTTGTAGCAAAGCTTTGCAGTTACAAAAAACAAAAAAAATTACCAAAGAATGCACAAAATTAATGTTTATTCCACCTTTGTGTCATATTCCTGAATCCTTCACCAATGTTACATGAGGAAAAAAACAAAAGCAAAACAAATGAAAAACTGAAATCAGAATCACTAATATTATCAAGTAGGGAAACAAATAAATTAAAATCTAGCAGCCATCAGCAAGAGTACAGCAAAGACAATGCTGTAAAAAGAAACAAAGAAAATTGCTAGAAAACTGTATGCATCATAATCTTTCAAACCAGCAAAATATGCTCCTGCATACAATGGAACAACAGAATTTTCTTTCCTGTAAAGTACAGTAATGCCAAGTTGTCTTTTGACTATTGTGGATCGGTAGTACAGCAAAGACAATGCTGTAAAAAGAAACAAAGAAAATTGCTAGAAAACTGTATGCATCATAATCTTTCAAACCAGCAAAATATGCTCCTGCATACAATAGAACAACAGAATTTTCTTTCCTGTAAAGTATAGTAATGCCAAGTTGTTTTTTGACTATTGTGGATAGATAAAATCTGTATGTAATTAATGGTAATTCTACTGAAGTATTACAGAGTGGGCCAGGAACACATTTATGGATTCTGAGGATGTGTACTGTAATTCTTTGATTGGGATAGTGGAAACTTTAGCCAAAAAAAAAAAAAAAAAAAAATGAACACAGAAGTACAAGACAAAGGCGAATGAGACTTCTCTTATATCTTAGTAACATTTAGATGGAAATCAAATTTAAATGCAGTCCACTCTGCTTTTTGAAGAGGCTTTGGTTCAGCTCCCAAATCTCGATTGCTTGACGCAGTCTCCTATGAGAATACTCAGAAGGTGTCTTCTTAAACAACAAACCTATTTTTAGTGGTGGAGCCGCTCTTAGTAGCTGTGTCTGCGTGGGACTGATAACCAATCACTATCTTTGGAGGAAGTCCTAACCTTTCCTTGTATACCCTCCTAGAAGAAAAAAAAGAAGAAAAAAGTAGCCATTAATTTTTACTCATAAGAAGTAAATAAATTCAAAATTTTAGGGTTACTAGTCTTTGTATTAAAAAATATAGATGAGAGTACAATAGGAAATTAATTATACACCCTTTTCCTTTTAGCATAATTTACTTTTCATTTTTGCGATATTCTTGGATAATTACTTTTAAAATATTGAGAGCCAGTCGGGTTTACTATTACTAAATTACAGGAGCATTACTATATTATTATACTGTTATTTATTATGATACTATAATTATTACTAAATCAATAGTGAACAAAGCAAGGACAGTCCCTGAGCTCACTGTATTTATAGTCTAGTAAACACAAAATCACAAATACATATGACGGACCTGTATTACATGCATACTTAAAACAGAAATCTGTATAACAAACATGTTTATTTTCATTCTTTGATCTAAAATGCTACATTTCACGTCTGAACCCTAGCAAATATTGTATATTACTACACAAATTATATTTACCATACCTGTTATAAGATTGCACAAACAAAAACTAAACACTTTGAGGGAGATTAAAATGAAACACTTCAAGGGAGAAAGTAATTTCTGCTTTACATACTAACTTTACAACCTAATTTTCAAGTAAGACATGACTCTATAGCAAGAATAAAATGGCACTTGTCATGAGTGCCAAAGAGTAAATACAAGGGCTGTAATAACAAGGAGATTCTAATCTCATCTACAAAATTACAGAAGTCTTCCCCTTTAAATATCACAAGGTCAAAAGGATAATGTTAAGATAATGAGCACATCTGAAAGCTGAGAAATAAAAATCAGGCTGTGTGACTATGGCTCGTAAGTAAAGTGAATATGAGATAAAGCTGACAAGGTTTCAAAGAAAGACCACAGAAAACTTCATAGGTCACCTTAAAAATCTGAATCTTTAAGAAAAAATAGTAAAAATTGAAAAATAAGCAAAATCAAATAAAAATAAAGGAATAAACATATTAATGGAGTTAAATCCTCCAACACGATACTAGGATAGTTTTTTTTAATACCTTCCAGGAGATTTACTACCTTCCCACTAAAATAAGGCATTAAAAAGTAATTTTATGGTAACTAAAGTGATAATTATCAAATTTGCATTATAATACAATGCATTCCTTTCAATTATACTTAATTATTTAAAATACCAAAAGCCATGACCATTGAGTCATGCAAATTGGAAGGGTTAAAAAAAGAAAATCTTTGTTTGAAAATCTGAAGTCTTAATATAGACTCAAAAACATTTACTAGTGACAAAAATAAAAAACTTCCATAGGAAAAAAATTCTTAATTAATCTAACTCTTGTTTTTTTTTTAAAAAAAAAAAAAAGTAAGTCCTCCAAAATTAGGTTTTGATGCTGGCAGAAACATTAAAATAAGATGACAAATCAACTCCTTTCTCTTATGGAACCCCATATAGCATGAAATGTAGAAAATCCCTATACCTTTTGATCCAGAAATAAATTATGTTCACAGAGAAATTTACATGGCTGAGAGCAGTGGATCACACCTGAAATCCCAGCACTTTGGAAGGCTGATGCAGGTGGATCACTTGAGCACAGGAGTTTGACAACAGTCTGGCCAACATGGCGAAACCCTGTGTCCACAAAAAATACTGTAGTGGCTCAGGCCTCTGGTCCCAGCTATTCAGGAGGCTGAGGCAAGAGAATCACTTGAACCCAAGAGGTGGAGGTTGCAGTGAGCCGAGATCACGATACTGCACCCCGGCCTGGGCAACGGAGTGTGACTCTGTCTCAAAAATTAATTTTAAAAAGAAAAATTAATAATATTTGAAAAATCACAAAGGGACAAACCAAACATTTTGTGACCACTGACTGACCAGCACTTAATTTTAACATAAAATTGTTAAGTCAATTTTTTTTTTTTTTTTTTGGTGAGACGGTGTCTCACTCTGTCTCCCAGGCTGGAATGCAGTGGCCCAATCTTGGCTCACTGCAAGCTCCGCCTCCCAGGTTCACGCCATTCTCCTGCCTCAGCCTCCCGAGTAGCTGGGACTACAGACGGAGTCTCACTCTGTCTCCCTCTGTCTCCCAGGCTGGAGTGCAGTGGCTGGATCTCAGCTCACTGCAAGCTCCGCCTCCCAGGTTCACGCCATTCTCCTGCCTCAGCCTCCCGAGTAGCTGGGACTACAGGCACCCGCCACCATGCCCAGCTAATGTGTTTTTTTTTGTATTTTCAGTAGAGACGGGGTTTCACCGTATTAGCCAGGATGGTCTCGATCTCCCGATCTCGTGATCTGCCTGCCTTGGCCTCCCAAAGTGCTGGGATTACAGGTATGAGCCACCGCGCCCAGCGTCAAATATTACTAATATAATTGAGGTAAAAAGAAATCCTAGTTAGAAATGCCAGCTGGTTTAGCATGGTGGCTCATGCCTGTAATCTCAGTACTTTGAAAGGCTGAGGTGGTTTGATCAAGCCCAGGAGTTCACAACCAGTCTCGGCAACATGGCAAAACCTCTTCTCTACAAAAAATACAAGAGAATAGCCAGGTGTGGTTGTACACACCTGAGTTCCAGCTAATTGGGTGGCTGAGGTGGGAGGATCACCTGAGCCCAGGAGGTTGAGGCTGCAGTGAGCCGTGACTGCACCACTGCACTCTTGCCTAAATAACACAGTGAGACCCTGCTTCAAAAAAAAAAAAAAAAAAAAGCCATTTTTGCAAAGAATAAAATTTACAAAAAAAGGTTTGATAAAACCCTACATGTGGGTTTTAAACATCGAACAAAAGCCAAAGTATGTTAAATTTTAATGAAAATTATATGTAGTAAACACACATGCTTTAAATACACATACACTATTTGCCAATAATCACTGAATTATTTATTATGAGCATACATTAGCTCTTTTCAAAGTAGTACTTTTTTTCAAACAGTACTTTCAAAGTAGGAAATAATACATTCTCATTTGTGAATGAATAAAAAATGCTACATGCCAAAGCAGAGTGTTCTAGTGGTTATATACTTCACTGCTAAGAAAAAGCAATTTTACAGAAATAAAAAACATGAACAAGGCCAGGCGCAATGGCCCATGCCTGTAATGCCAGCACTTTGGGAGGCCGAGGTGGATGGATCACTTGAGGCCAAGAGTTAAAAGACCAGCCTGGCCAACATGGCAAAACCTGGTCTCTACTAAAAATACAAAAATTACCTGAGCATGGTGGCACGCGCCTGTATTCTCAGCTACTTGGGAGGCTGAGACATAAGAATCACTTGAACCCGGGAGTCAGCGGTTGCAGTGAGCCTAGATCATGCCACTGTACTACACCCTGGACAACAGAGTGAGACTCTGTCTCTAAATATATAAATAGCTGTGAAAAAACCCTCCAAAACATCTATATTGATATCTATATAGATCTATATAGATTAGATATATATGAACAAGACGTTGTGCACCAATTGAGCCATTCAAAATTATAAAAGTGTTCCCGAAAACAATACAAGGAAAACAGGATCTACAAACAAAGTATTTCTAAAGCTACAAATAAAGTAACTTCTGGTTTTAGCCATCCTAATATTGTAAAATAAGTATGCAAAGAGCAAAACTTACCCTATATGTGTAACAGCTTCTCTGTTTTCACATTCAGTAGTCCATATTGCTATCTTATCACCTTTAGCTCTAACATTAACAACAGCGCCACATACATCATCACTGTAGTCATCAAAAGATTCTCCAATAAGGCACAGCAGCTTAAAAGAAAATCCCAAATTACGTTTAATAGATTATAAACAAGCTTATTACACTGCAAATTTCTCTTCTATATTTGCGTAGATAACTAAAGACAATTTTTAAATCTAGTTAATTTTTTAAATGTGTAAATTTTATTTGCATATATAGATCTATCCTGACTCTTAAATACTCATTCATTTATCTACTATCAAATCATTAACAGTTGTCTTCACCTTTTTCAGCAAATTTGGCAGTTAATATCGTGGCAGACATAAAAGCTGATTTTATTAATATTCATTTGCTCTGCTGCTGCTTATATTTACGAGCAAACAAATATTAATAGAATAACAAAAATAGCTATTCATGGTTAATTTCTTCTTGTTCTTATTTTTTCTGAGTATTTGTTAATGGTTTGGTTTTTTGTTGTTGTTTTTTGAGACAGCGTCTTGCTCTGTTACCCTGGCTGGAGTGCAATGGGACCATCACAGCTCACTGCAGCCTCAACCTCCTGGGCTCAAATGATCCTCCCACCTCAGCCTCTTGAGTAGCTGGGCATACACACAGGGACATGTCACCATACCCAGTAAATTTTTGTATTTTTTGTAGAGACAGGGTTTTGCCACGTTGCCCAAGTTGGTCTTGAACTCCTGAGTTTAAGTGAAATGCCTGCCTTGGCCTCCTGAAGTGTTGAGATTTCAGGTGTGAGCCCAGCCCTAATGGGTTTCTTAATTGTGGTAAAACACAAATAACATAAAATTTACCATTTTAACCACTTTTAAGTGTACAGTTCAGTGGCGTTAAGTACATTCAACATTGTTGTACAACCATCACTACTACCATCCATCTCCAGAACATTTTTTTTAACTGAAAAATGGAAATATCCTGACTTTTTAATGTGGAATTCCAAAATGATATTTGCTGATGATCTTCGCCCTCAAAAACAGAATTTTCTTCTTAAAAAGTCGTTCATTCATTAGCTGTGTGTGCTGGCATGCACCTGTAGTCACAGCTACTTGAGAGGCTAAGGCAGGATGATTGCTTGAACCCAGGAGGCTACAGTGAGCTATGATGGCCCCACTACACTCTAGCCTGGGCAACAGAGCAAGACCCTGTCTCTAAAAAAACAATAGTCACTTATTCAAATATTTAAAGTGATTAACTCAACAAGTGCTAACTATAAACCAGGCACGGTTTCAAGTGCTAGGGATACAAAAGAGACTACAAACCCCGCTCCTATAAGCTTGGGGTTTGGAACCTCTGTCGACAGAAAACGCCTATTATCTCATATTTAATTTGTCTTGTAAAGCCAAAAGTTCCAGTTAATATCACAACATGTAGGTTGAATGGTAGTACACAACAATTTTATTGTTTGCTTCACTGATCTAAAAAGTTTAGTGGGACAGGCACAGTGACTCACACCTGTAATTCCAGCACTCTGGGAGGCTGAATGGGAGGATCACTTGAGGCCAGGAGTTTGAGACCAACCTAGGCAACACAGCAAGATCCCACCTCTAGGAAAAAATTTAGAAAATTAGCTGGCCATTGTGGCATGCACCTGTAGTTCCAGCTACTTAAGAGGCTGAAATGGGAGGATCACTTGAACCCAGAGGGTGAGGCTGAAGTGAGCCATATAAATAAATATCCGCACTCCAGCCTGGGCAACAGAGCAAGACCCTTACTCTAAAAACATAAATATTTAAAAGTTTAGTATACATATAGCAATGCTGTATGAGGGTTGCAAAAACTTCAATCATATAAAATGTAAGGTTCTATAATTTCGAAGTTAATGAAATGACCACAGTGAGCTTATTATGGTGAGAGTCACACTGCCAATCACTTAAAATATCTGACTTATAATGTGGTAGGATGTTTCACTGTACTACAAACAGGAGTCACATGACAGAATGAAAACAATTACTGACCCTGATTTTCTAGTGTTGGGCATCCTTCTCTTAAATTAAGTAACAAATGTAAAACATAACATATCTTAAGTTTCAGTATTCCCAAACTACCTCTAAAACTGCTTTATACTTTTAAAACCTTACTGTCTCTAGCCAAAAGCGATCAAGGTCACTTCGTCTCTGCTGTTTGTTCAATGTAATTAGCCATCGTCCTCCCCGTTTGTTTTTCTCATCTTCCCACATAGGCTCAATACCATCCTACAGGGTTAGAAGACAACAGTATTACACAATATTGTTACCTTGACTTTGAGAGATAATCATTAAAAACAGTAAGCAACAACACTGTCAACTTCTTACTTTATTGCCCATAAAACTGCCATTGATGCAGTTTTTAAAAAGTGCATAAGACTTAAAGCCAGAAGCATGACATTGCAGAATTAGAGTCCTGACTTTGTCACTTATTAGCTATCAAATCTTGAGTTTCACTTAATTTGAAGGTTCTTAAACTTTCTGAGTAGCAAACATGTTTTAGAAGCTCTGTACATTTCTATACCTAGAAAATACATGCAAAAACTATGCAGTTTCAGTTAATGAATGTCCCGTCCCCCTACCACCTGACAAAGTCCAATAATAAGTATTCCAAGGACCCATGCTCCTAAGGTTAAGAATGCTTGATAAACTTAGTCTGCTCAAATATATAAAGGAGTAGACTGGAAAATCAAAGCTCTCATCAAAATCAATCTCAGTATGTGCCCACAGAATAACTCTCTCTCAATTTTTATAAACAAATAGAGTAAGATATATTGATACTAAAGCATACTACAGCCAATTAAATTATCAGCCTGTTCTTCACACTATCAAGTACTCCTAAGTTTATGGCAAGATTTCTTAATGAATACCAAATGGCCCAGTCCTATAATAAATATATAAAATCACCAATTAAGCATACCTTAAAAAGTGAGTAGTCACAGCCAGGCATTAAATTACTAGACAACTGGATATGGTTGTACAGACTAGGTAAAAGAAAGTAACAATTAAAAACACAGAACATGTAATATAGAGTTCAGGTGCTTACATATATATACATTTAGAACATATGATGAAAATAAACAGATAAAAGTTCATGTTTACTTGTTTCTAAGGAGTCAATTTCTAAAATGGACAAAACAGATCTTAAAAGCAGTTAAATAATCAACTTTAGATGAAAGGTATAATTTTCAAAAAATTTCTAGTGACTGCTCTGACAAAAATATATTTTATATGTTAGTTAACTCAGTGCATACATATGTATATATATAAGAAACTGAGAAGAGAGGTATAAGGTGGCTTTAAGTAGATGAAGTAATTTCTGAAGTTAATCAACAGTTTTTTCACAAACATAAAAAAAATAATAACAGAAAAGATGAACTTCCTGACCATCAGGATTGCATGACTGAAACAGTTGATTATTATCCTCGAGGGTATCCAAGAGTAAAACAGATCAATGGTTCCCAAACACCACAAATTGTCACTGGTTAGTCAACATAATAATCATTTTAAAAATGATTTTAGAAAAATAAATAAATAAATAAATATAGTTCCAAGCCCTACCTCTTGGGATTATAATCACCTAAATATGAGATAGAACCCTGCAGTCTGTATTTCTAAACTATTTCCCAAGTATCAAAATAGCAGAATAACATTTGCAATGACTTAGTTGCTTGCCTGAAGGCAGGAGGCTTAGACCATTTGATCTCCTGTAGTCTTTTACAGCAAAATTGATTAAAAAATTGGCAACTCTTAAGAATCTTTTGCCTGTCTCCAATATTAGATGGCAGAAATAATGAACTTAGCTGTGTCTACAGACCATGGATGATTCTATTATCCTTAGTCTGGTTCTCCTGGTGCTATATTAACCCCATCTAGGAATATTTCAGGAAAAGATTTAAGGGCCGGGCGCAGTGGCTCACACCTGTAATCCCAGCACTTTGGGAGGCTGGGGCAGGCGGATCACGGGGTCAGGAGTTCCAGACCAGCCTGACCAACATGATGAAACCCCGTCTCTACTAAAAATACAAAAATTAACCGGGCGTGATGGCATGCGCCTGTAATCCCAGCTACTCGGGAGGCTGAGGCAGAAAAATCGCTTGAACCCGGGAGGTGGAGGTTGCAGTGAGCCGAGATTGCCCCATTGCACTCCAGCCTGGTGACAGAGCTAGACTCCATCTCAAAAAAAAAAAAAAAAAAAAAAGATTTAAGACAGAAGTTGGCATTCTTTAAATGAAATTCCACAGTATAACACACAAATAATAGTTTAGGTGAGACAACCTAAGATCACATAAGGTTTGTGAGTCACTACACCTCATGGTAACTCCCAACTACATCATCTATGACAGCCTCCTCTAGGCAACAAAAAAAGCCTGCATACTAAGTTACTATAAAATTAGCACTACTAATTTCATAAAATAAATGGATATTGTGAGAACGAACTTCAATAAAATATTTTTCTTTTTGCTGCCTCCTTTCTCTTCCGGGGTGCTCAAAGGTCTCTCAAGTCAGTCCATAATGAGAATTTATAATGGCACACCTAAACAGAATCCTAAGACTATGCAGTCTGGATAAATACAGAGGGACTCAATGGTTATTTGTAATAAATTTGCTAGAAAAGCCAGAAATTAGGAAGTGGCCCACACATTTACAGAAAATTGAAAAATCCTTCATATCTCTAAATTATGGTATAAAAATCTACTATGCAATGACACTGACTACACATAACTGAAGTGTGGAGGCATTGTTCTAATTGGTACAATTACGTAAACTGGTAAAAGCCAAACAAACTAGATAAATGCAAATCTGACTGGGGAACGTGGCTCAAGGCTTCCTTTTCCTCTCTAGGAGAATGAAGAGCTTTTTTTGGTGCAGAAGAGTTATTTAAGAGTTCTGAATAAACACAATTAGAGAAGAAAAACTACTTGATGTTTTGATGATGGGCAAAGAATAACCCTAGTTTAACTAGACAACTAGACACTTATAAATTATTAGGCCTTAAATGTAGTTAATAAATTATTAAGTGTAATGCTTTTAATAAAAAATAAATACTCTCAAAGTTTACTCTCAAATGAATGTTCTCAAATACTCTCAAAGTTTATAGTTTTAACTGTATGCTTTGCTTTTTTCAGCAACACAAATGAATACAAAATACCTATTAGAAGTCAAGCACTGGAAATACAGACAAAAATGTTTCTGCTGTTGAAGATGTATGTATATATGTATAAATTTTATACCACAATCTATTCCTTTGTATGAGCAGAATATCTTGAGGGAGTTACATTAAAACATAAGAGTAGCATCACTAATTCAGCATGTATATGATCCTAAAAAAAGATGTACAAGTTACAATATTTAAATAACTGCTAGGTAATTTAAAGCACTTATTAAAAAGTTTTGCCTTTCAGGGTCTCACATAGTACCTCCCTACTCATTCTCCAAGTAAATTTGACACACTGGATTAACTTTGTTTTTAAGAGAATCAATAATCAAAACTTCTTGAAATAGACTTTACAATTTTTAATTTTATTTATTTTATAGAGAAACAGGGACTCACGTTGACCAGGCTGGTCTTGAACTCCTGGCCGCAAGTGATCTTCCTGCCTCAGCATCACAAAGTATTAGTATTACAGGCATGAGTCACTGAGCCCAGCCTTAAATTTTGTTTTGAGGTCATGCAAAAGTTGATGATCCCAATTCTTAACTTTCTGCTTATACAGAAACAAAATTTCAAAAATATTTCAACTATTCTTCTTGAGGTTGATCAAAGTATAATGAAATGAATAAAGTATCATGATAGATACTGGCATTCCCTTGACAAACTCTGAATTCTGAACACTTCAACCTTTGATATCGTAAAATCTCTGGTACAGGAAATTCCAGATGTTGCACTGAAAACAGTTTGCAGAAATGAGAACCCAACAATGCACTGGAATACCCAGTTATGAGGCAAATTTACCTTGGCAACCAAGAGAGGAACAAGTTGCAACTAGTTGTCAAAAGTTCTAAGGGCAATAAAGGATTCTTGAGCTAAGGATATCTCAGGACAAGAAACAGAATAATCAGGGCTAAGGGATGACAAGACTGAAGCTTTGTAAAACTAACAAAGCATAATTACCAGTTCAAACTTTTGTGAGGAGATAAAAAAAACAGACAAACATTCATTAACTGTTTACCTCACACTTCATTTTGTGAATTCGACTTAAAAATAAACTACACAACTAATAAAAAAACCAACATACTAAAACAAATGGTTACTTACGCCCAAAAGTCTTCAACAGTATCAAACTTAGAGATCAGCCGCAGGTTTGCTTGCCAAGTTTTGCTTTTATCATTTTTAAAAAACCAGAGTGCCCATCTAAAAATAAAAAGTCAATGTCAAAAAATGGTAGCTGCATCCCCATGTTAAAAGCAACATTATTCACAACAGTCAGAAGGTAGAAGCAACCCAACTGTTCATCAACAGATGAATGAAAAATGTATATATATACACCATGGAATACTAAAAAGCCCTGATGAAGGAAATTCTAACACTTGATAAAACATGAGGGGAAGCTAAGGACATTAAGTGAATAAGCCAGCCTCTCTCCAAAAAAAAGATAAATACTATATGATTCCACTTTTATGAGGGATAAGAAGTCAAATTCACAGAAACAAAAAGAATGGTGATTGCCACTAACCAAGGAGAAGGGAGTTTAGGGTTACAGAGTTTACAGAGTTTTGGAAGATGAACAAGAGTTCTGGAGATTAGTTGTACAATAATTGGTTGCAGAAAGTACTTAACATTAATTGAACTGTACACTTACAAATAGTTAACACAGTAAATTTTATGTTTACCACAAAAATTTAGGAAAAAAAAGTAAAATGCTGGTTGTTATTACAGTGGCAAATAATGAGAGTTCTCCATTTCTTTCATTTAAAAAATATGTATTTTATGTCTACTACATAACAGATTCTCTGCTATACCTAGGGACCCAAGACACACTGAAACTCATCACTCAATGGAATTCATAGAGATGAGGCAGAGAGACAACTACAGTGTGCTAAGTGCTATGACAGAGATAAGCAAGCACAATTATTTAAGAAAAACACGGCAGAGCTGGGCGCGGGTGGCTCACACCTGTAATCCCAGCACTTTGGGAGGCTGAAGTGGGTGAATCACCTAAGGTTGGGAGTTCAAGACCAGCCTGACCAACATGGAGAAACCCTGTCTCGACGAAAAATACAAAACTAGCCAGGCATGGTGGTACATGCCTGTAATCCCAGCTACCTGGGAGGCTCAGGCAGGAGGCTGTGGTGAGCTGAGATCGCGCCACTGCACTCCAGCCTGGGCAACAAGAGTGAAACTCCATTTCAAAAAAAAAAAAAAACACAGCAGAAACACTTAAACTATAAAAGAAGGCAAGGGGCCAGGCACGGTGGCTCAAACCGGTAATCCCAACACTTTGGGAGGCTGAGGTGGGCGGATCACGTGAGGTCAGAAGTTCAAGACCAGCCTAGCCAACATGGTGAAACCTGGTCTCCACTAAAAATACAAAAAAAATTTAGCCAGGCATTGTGGTATATGCCTGTAATTCCAGCTACTCATGAAGCTGAGGCACAAGAATCACTTGAATTCAAGAAGCAGAGGTTGCCCTGAGTCGAGGTTGTGCCACAGCACTCCAGCCAGGGCAACAGAGGGAAACTGTCTCCAAAAAAAAAAAAGAAGGAGGCAAGAAACAGGATAGCTGATATTTCTCAGAGGAACAAATTAGCCAAGAAGAAACGAGAGTGCCAGGAGTGGGGAAACTATTAAATGTGACTCTATATTTAATCAAACACCTAACTGGGAAAATAATAAAGACTGAGTAATGCTGCATAGATATGTACTGAAACAACGTATACTAGTTTTAATATATCTGTAGATACTTCTCTTAAAATAGTTTTATTCCTACATAATATATAATAGCTTATATATACCTAACATTATATATAGAGGCATACCTTGGATATATTGTGAGTTCAGTTCTAGATCATCATAATAAAGTGAGTATCACAATAAAGGAACTATCTTTATGGAGAGTCACACAAATTTTTTGGTTTCCCAGTGCATATAAAAGTTATGTTTACACTACACTATAGTCTACATTATGTCTGAAATAGCATTATGTCTAAAAAACAAAAAGTACATACCTTACTTAAAAATTCTATTGCTAAAAATGCTAATGATCATCTGAGCTTACAGAGAGTGGTAATCTTCTTGCTGATGGAGGGTCTTCCCTTGTTGATTGCTGCTGACTGATCAGAGTAGTGATTGCTGAAGATTGGGGTGGCTGTGGCAATTTCTTAAGACAACAATGAAGTTTGTCACACTGATTGACTTCATTTCACAAAAGATTTCTCTGTAGCATGCAATGTTGTTTGTAAGCATTTTACACAGTAGAATTTCTTTCAAAATTGGAGTCAATCCTCCCAAACCCTGCAGTTGCTTTATCAATTCGGTTTACGTAATATTCTAAATCCTTTGTTGTCATTTCAACAATGTTCACAGCATCTTCACCAAGAATAGATTCCATCTCAAAAAACCTTTTTTTCTGCTCACTCATAAGCAGCAACTCCTTATCCATTCAAGTTTTCTCATGAGACTGCAGCAATTCAGTAACATCTTCAGGTTCCATTTCTTACTGTACATCTCTCGCTCTCTGCACCACATCCACAGTGACTTCTTTGAACCCTTCAAAGTCATCAATACAGGCTGGAATAAGTCTTGTTCATGCTGATGTTCTGACCTTCCATGAATCATGAATGTTCTTAATGACATTCAAAATGCTGAATCCTTTTGGAAGTTTTTCAATTTACTTTGTTCAAATCCATCAAAGTCATCACTATCTACAGCATTTATAGCCTTATGAAATATAGTTCTTATTAATAAATAATAAGGCTTGAAAGTCAAAATTCCTCTTTGCTGCTCCACAGGCTGCAGAAAGTACGCTGTGTTAAGAGGCATGAAAACAATTCATCTCCGTCAGAGCTCTTGGGTGACTAGGTGCATCATCAATGAGCAGTGATATTTTGAAAGGAAACTTTTTTCTGGGCAGTAGGTTTCAACAGTAGGCTTAAAGTATTCAGTAAACCATGCTATAAATCGATGCATTGTCATCCAGGCTTTGCTGCTCCATTTCCAGAGCATGGGCAGAATGGATTTAGCATCATTCTTCAGGATTCTTAGGATTTTGGGAATAGCAAATGAGCACTGGCTTCAACTTAAAAGTCATCAGCTGCAAGATCCCCTAACAAGAATCAGCCTGTCCTTTGTAGTTTGAAGCTAGGCACTGACTTCTCTCTAGCTAGCAAAGTCCTAGATGGCATCTTCTTCCAGTAGAAGGTTGTTTTGTTTACACTGAAAATCTGTTTTTAGTGTAAACTTCCTTCATCAATTACCTTAGCTAGATCTGGATAATTTGCTGCAATCTCTACATCAGCCCTCGCTGCTTCACCTTGTACTTTTATGGGGGTGACTTCTTTCCTTAAATCTTATAACTGACCTCTGTTAGCTTTCAACTTTTATTCTGCAGCATCCCCACCTCTCTCAGCCTTCATAACGTTGAACAGAGTTAGGGCCTTGTTATGGATTAAGGGAATGTTGTAGCTGGTTTTATTTACTACCCAGACCACTTGAACTTTCTCCGCATCAGCAATGAGGCTGTTTTGTTTTCTTATCATTCATATGTTTGCTGGAGCAGAACTTTTGATATCCTTCAAGAATTTTTCCTTTGCTTTTACAACCTGGCTAACTTATTTGGTGCATGAGGCCTAGCTTTTGGCCTGTGTTGGCTTTTGACATGTCTTCCTCGTAAGCGTAATCATTTCTAGCTTTTGATTTAAAGTGAGAGACATGCAACTCTTCCTTTCACTGTAACATGTAGGGGCCATTGTAGGGCTATTAATTGGCTTAATTTCAATATTGTTGTGTCTCAGGGAATAGGTAGACCCAAGGACAAGGAGATGGGAATGGCCAGTCAGTGGAGCATTCAGAACACATACAACATTTATCAATTAAGTTGGCCGTCTTATATGGCCAATATTCATGGCACCCCAAAACAGTTACAATAGCAACATCAAAGATCACCGATCACAGATCATAACAGATACAATAAAGTTTGAAATACCGTGAGAATTACCAAAATGTGACAGAGACACCAAGTGAGCACATGCCATTGGAAACATGACATTAACAGAACTGCTTGACACAGGATTTCCACAAACCCTCAATTTATAGAAAAGGCATGATTTGTGAAGCACAGTAAAATGAGGTATGCCTGTATAATATTTTCTCTAATGCCTTGAAGATAAACTCGTGGAACATTAAAGTTACACTTTACCCCAAGATGATTGCCAAGATCATTCTCCTTTAGAAGAATTAAACTGAATATTCTGATTACAATACCAAAGGAAAGTCAAAGGGAAATTTCATTTTCTCATCAACACAAATGTCTGAAGAGCCTTCCAAATTGAATATATATTTCATAATCCCATAATTAATACTCAGTAACCTCACCTAGACAGAAAAATGAGATGCATTTCAACATGTACTTGATAATTTGTCAGCAACTGCCACCCCATTACCAATAAAAAAGAAAAAGAAAATGCAAGAAAACCCCCAACGAGGTCAAGTACTACACTCTGGATTTTTAAAAATAAATTCCAAAACAAAAAAACTCTGCACCCAGCCATTTAAACACATAAAGATCTACGAGGCCAGGTGAGGTGGCTCACACTTGCAATAACAGCACTCTAGAAGGCTGAGGCAGGAAGAACACTTGAGCCCAGGAGCTCAAGACCAGCCTGGGCAACATAGTGAGAGATCGCATCTACTAGACATTTAAAAAATTAGCCAGGCATGGGCCAGGTGCGGCAGCTCACGCCTGTAATCCCAGCACTTTGGGAGGCCAAGGTGGGTGGATCATGAGGTCAAGAGATGGAGACCATCTTGGCCAACATGGTGAAACCCTATCTCTACTACAAATATAAAAATTAGCTGGGCGTGGTGGCACGCACCTGTAGTCCCAGCTACCCAGGAGGCTGAGGCAGGAGAATCGCTTGAATCTGGGAGACGGAGGTTGCAGTGAGCCGAGATCGTACCACTGCACTCCAGCCTGGTGACAGAGAAAGGCTCCGTCTCAAAAAAACAAAAATTAGCTAGGCATGATGGCAAGTGTCTATAGTCCCAGCTACCCAGGAGGCCAAGGTGGGAGGATTGCTTGAGCCCAAGAGTTTGAGGTTGCAGTGAGCTATGATCATGCCACTGGACTTGAACGTGAGTGACAGAGCAAGACCCTGTCAAGGAAGGGGAAGGGGAGAGGACTGCTTGAGGTGAGG